CGTCATCTGGCCTCTCTGCCCTTCGCAGGGTGGTGAGCAGCTGGATCGAGAGGCGCAAGGTGCAGTCGGAGAAGGCCAACCTGATGATCCTCTTCGACAAGTACCTGCCCACCTGCCTGGACAAGCTGCGCTTCGGGTTTAAGAAGATCACGCCGGTGCCGGAGATCACCGTCATCCAGATGATCCTGTATCTGCTCGAGTGTCTGCTCACGGAGAAGAACGCGCCGCCCGACTCGCCCAAGGAGCTGTACGAGCTCTATTTCGTGTTCGCCTGCTTCTGGGCCTTCGGTGGGGCCATGTTCCAGGACCAGGTGACAGACACGGGGACCGCCGCCTGCACGAGGTCCCCGCAGCCCTCCTGGGCCGGCCCTAGTCCTCCTTTCTGTTTCTTAACAGCTTGTAGATTATCGAGTCGAGTTCAGTAAGTGGTGGATCAACGAATTCAAAACCATCAAGTTTCCCTCCCAGGGAACAGTTTTTGACTACTACATCGACCCTGACACTAAGAAATTCCTGCCCTGGACAGACAAAGTGCCCAGCTTTGAGTTGGACCCAGATGTCCCACTGCAGGTAACTCCCCCAAAGTGATGGCCACTGGCCAGTGATGGGAGCAGGACTTAAGGAACCCGGGGCAGGTGTCCATGTGCAAACCGTCCTCAACAGTGGGGCCTCTGAAGCAAAGCTTGGGGCTTAAACCACTAGAGTCTGCACACGGGCTGAAGCACAGCCTAGGGGTGACAGCTCCCACCCTGCCCCCCAGGCCTCTCTGGTCCACACCACCGAGACCACCCGCATCCGCTACTTCATGGACTTGCTCATGGAGAAGGGCTGGCCCCTGATGCTGGTGGGGAACGCGGGGACCGGCAAGTCGGTGCTGATGGGGGACAAGCTGGAGAGCCTGAACACAGACGACTACCTGGTACAGGCCGTGCCCTTCAACTTCTACACGACCTCGGCCATGCTGCAGGGTGAGGCCCGACTGGCCGGGACCACCTGAACCACAGCCAGGACTCCCTCTTTCTGGTGGTGGTGGGGTATTGATGATGGGGGTGTTGATGGCCAGTCGAGGGGGCAGGGCCCACGGGGAACATCTCAACCCACATGAGAGGTCCGAAGCCTGGCAGGGAGCAGGGTGTCCATGCCCTGGCCCTGAGCCACCAGCCTTCCACGGACTCCCTGGGCAGGTGTGTGGGGTGAACCTGAGCCTTGGTGGCTCCCACATCTTTCCTCCAAGCCCACTGGTGGGGTCCTGCCCACCTGACTCCTGGGCTTGGGACAACAGGGTATGGCTGACCTACAGCCCTCTCCAGGTGTGCTTGAGAAGCCGCTGGAGAAGAAGTCAGGGAGGAACTATGGGCCCCCAGGCACCAAGAAGCTGATCTACTTCATCGATGACATGAACATGCCCGAGGTGGACAAGTACGGGACAGTGGCCCCACACACCCTCATCCGGCAGCACATGGACCACGGGCACTGGTGAGGGGGGCCAGGGATGCAGGGATGGGGGGAGGTGGGGCGGGGCTGCAGGACTGGGATACATGTCTGGGATGGGGGAGGTCACTGCACAATGGGGGGTTCTTGGGGCAGGGCCATAAGGCAGAAAAGTGGGGCTACTGGACTATAGGGTGAAGGCAAGGGGCTGGGACCAGGAGCTGGGTGAGTGATGAGAACATGGTGGGGTCACAGGGCCATGGGCAGCACCCACAGAGGGGGGATGGACACCCTTCCCTGCCCCCCCCCCCACATAGTTACAGAGTAAAGGAAGAGATCTGAGAAAAAGCTCAGTCACAGGGGTGCCCCGCCTCTCCATCTGGGTCAGAGATGCCCTGGGGAGGCCTTACAAAGCCAGAGGCTGGAGGCTGAGGGGGCACTGGCCATGGGAGCATCCCAGGTGGGGCAGAGAATGCCACATGCACAGGCCCTAAGGCAGAAGGGACCTGAGGAGGCTGATGTGGCCAGAATCTGAAAGCCGGAGGCACAGGTGCCCAGGGCAGCTACAGCCAGACTCTGGGTCCTCTGGGTAGCTGGACAGCCGAGTGTGGACTCTCCCCCAGTGGCATCAGGAGGCCGAAGGTGTTGAGTTTAGGTTTACACTTTGGAAAGAAAAGAACATCCAATCCAGTTGTTTCTTAAGGTAAGTAGACAGGCCCAAACCTGGGCACTCTAAGACCAAAAGAACCCCAGAAACTAGTCTGTAGGTTCCAGGAGCCTGCCCTTCCTGCCTGGAAATGGAGGCACAGGGCTTAAGTTGCCTGCTCAAGGTCACAGCCCTGACAAGTGGCAAAGCTGGGTTTCAAGTCCAAACATGTCTGACTTCATCCTGCCTTTCCCCAGCAAGCGACACAACTCACAGGGCTCACAGGACACAGGAAGCCAGCAAGGACAGTCCCTGGTGCATGGTGTTAGAGGCGACTCCCTTGGGGAGGTGACAAGCCAAAGGTGGACATCATTCCAGATGACTGAAGTAGAGTAGGGCAGAGAGCTCTAGGGAGAGGGAGGCAGGACCAGACACTGAGAGCCACAGTCCCTCTCTGCAGGGATCTGCGCAAGGCCCATGGGCCCTGAAGCCCGGCCTTCACTCACGCAGGCCTCTTCCAAGCCCTGGAAATGGCTTCATAGGGTTACACACGCTTGTAAAAATTGCTCAGAGTTTTGTTGTCTTGTCCTTAAAGAAGGCCCTCCAAGTTGTTACGCTTCAGCCCCAGTCCGCGCCTGCTCATCAGTTTACCCGGAAGCATCTTCAAGAGGGTGGCACAGTCAGATGTGAGCTTTTAGCACCTCCTAGAACAAGAGAGAAAGCTGATCCCACAACAACGCAGGAAGGGGGCCTGGTCAGTGGGTCTGTCAGGAAGTGGGAGGAAGAAGCATCAACCAGAACCACCCAGCACCCAAGGAAGGGCCCCAGGCAGCGTGCACACCTGTAAGCAAAGGCGTGCTGTGAGGTCAGAAGGAAAGGGGGGGGGGTCTCCATGACCCGGAGGACGGCATGCCTGGGGAAGGGCTTCTCAAACAATGGCGTCCAAAGCATAAACTGAAGGGCATAAGCTGATTCCTGTGATTTACATCAAAATTGAGAAATTCTGTTCAAGAGACACCATGGACAGACATGGGGGCGGGGGGGTAACCAAATGGGAGAAAAGAGTTGCAGTGTCTAAAATTGGCAGTGGATTGATGTCCGGAATATGCAAGGAAGTCCTACAAATGGAAGGAGGAACAATTCCCAGCACAAAACGTGCATCCTGGGGAGAAAAAACCCAAGGTCCTGAGTGCCCAGAAAGAAGCATGAACTCCTTGCCATCATCCAAGCCCTGACGTCAGGAGATTACTCAGCCTATTTACTGATCACGGCCGTCGATACTGACAATGGTGACAGTAGTGTTTATTGCAATCTTACTGTATTTCAGGCACCTTCCAAGGGCCTCCTCACGTGTCAGCTTCTTTAAAGCCGCCTAACACCTCAGTGTACAGGCAAGAATCCTGAGGCATAGAGAGGTTAACCAACCGGCCAGAGCCCCGTCGCCGCCTGTGACAGAGCTGGAACATAAACCCAGGCCCGCCCTCTGGGCACCCTTTCACTTCCCATTCCAAAAGTGTTTTTGAAAGCATGAAGATAAATGGGCTGTTCCATCTATAATCGATGTTTTTTGAGGTTCTGTTATAACCATACACAAAGCGTTCTTTCCAGGCAGCTCCTCCCAGTGGTGCGAGGTTTACACTGGTCTCCCCCCTCAGGTACGACAGACAGAAGCTGACGTTAAAAGATGTTCACAACTGTCAGTACGTGGCCTGCATGAACCCCACTTCCGGGTCCTTCACCATTGACCCCCGACTTCAGGTAAGCAAGAGGCCAATGTAATGTCAGTTACCTGCCACGGCCCGAGGCTTGCATTTGGCAAATGAGAATAAAAGCGGTGTCCTGGGATGTTGGTGCTGCAGGCTCACATCCCCTGGAAAACTCCTCCACCCTTCAGGTGGTGTCAGGAAACCCCAGGGCACGGTGAGGGAGGGAGGCTGGCCAGCCTTCCTCGTGACCCCACAGCACTGCCAGATTAAGCGAACCAAAATGCAGGTGCCCATTAAATCTGAATTTCAGATGAACCACAAATACTTTTTTAGTATAGATATGTCCTAAACAATACCTGGGCATCCTCACACAGGCAGTCCCCAAGACCGATGTATGACCCGAAGTTACAAACGTACCTGTTCCAACTTACACACAGGTTCAACTTAAGAACAAATCTATAGAATATTGTCTCATTCATAACCCAGGGACTGCCCATACTAAAAAAAAAAAAATGTATTAATTGTTTATCTGAAATTCAGATTTATGCCTGTAGTCCCAGCTACTCAGGAGACTGAGGCAATAGGATCACTTGAGCCCAAGACTTTGAGATTGCTGTAAGCTATGACGCCACAGCGCTCAACCCCAGGGTGAGTTAGACTCTGTCTCAAAAAAAAAAAAAAAAAATGAAATTTGGATTTTGGGCATTGTGCATTGCTAGTGTATCTGCAGCCCCACCCACACAGACCTTACTTCCCAGCTGCCTAGGCACATGGAGGCCTGGGACAGTTAAGCCCAGGCCTGTGCTCTGAGCGGCTCCTTTGCCACTGCCAAAGTTTTTCTTGAGAGCATGAAGTAAATTTGGCCGTTTCACCCATAGCTGATGTTTAACGTGACTTTACCACATGCAACGCACAAGAAGAAAATCTGTCCACTCCAACAATGCCCCAAAGACGTTAGTCAGTGAGAAAGGGTCTGCTCTCCCAAGAAGGTGGCCCCAGCCATGGGCTGGTCCCCACGAGCTGCCTGACCAAGTCTGTGGTTGGTTCCGGGGCAGCGCCACTTCTGCGTGTTTGCTGTGAGCTTCCCTGGCCAGGAGGCCCTCACGACCATCTACAACACCATCCTGAGCCAGCACCTGGCCTACCGCACAATCCCCATGACCATCCAGAGGATGAGCAACCAGCTGGTGGCGGCAGCTCTGGGTGAGCGGACTCGTCCCCTCCTGTCGGTAAAACCTACTGTTTTATGGGGCTGATGGGTTGTCATATTTTCCCCTGGCAAATATTTTATTTATGTTTTTAAATCAATATTTTTAATTGATGCTATGTTTCCACAGGAGATGTTACGAAATACAATCGCTGCGGGGGGTGGGAGGCGGAGGTGGAGCATAGGAAATTTAGTATACAGGAATGACTTAGAGTAGAGAGGCAAACTTCCTCCTCCTTCAAAGAGCCGTGCAGATTTCTTACTTAAATTGTCACCATTTCATAGTCCATTTGCTTTAGAAACTTTGAGCTCTGCACTTCCTGGGGCCATTAAGAGTGCCTAAGAATCGATGTGCCTTTTTCCTATAACAGCCTTGCATCAGAAAGTCACGGCCACGTTTCTGCCCACGGCCATTAAGTTTCATTACGTCTTCAACCTCAGGGACCTCTCCAACATCTTTCAGGTACCGATCCTGTAGCTTCACGTCGCTCCCCCCTTATAGCCACGTCCCCAGTCCACAGGTGCTCTTCTTCTGCCGCTCTGAGGAGAGAAGACAAAGTGAACTGTGGACGGATGATGGAGGCGATGGTGATGGTGGTGGGTGATGATGGTTGTGGTGGAGTTGAGGGTCATGGTGGTGGTGACGGTGGAGATGGTGGTGACCACGTTGGTCGTGGTGGTGACGATGGTGATGATGACGCTAGGGATGATATTTTCTCTCATTTATTGACTGTTTATTCCAAGTCACAGAATGGGTTCAGCCCCTCACACTTCTGTCTCCTCCTCCAAACAACACATGAGGTTGGTGCTCCATCCCCATTTTACAGAGCGGGAAGCTGAGGCTCTGAGATGTTAAGTCATTCCTCCCACATTAAGTGCCACATCCTCAGAGGCCCCTCCCTATCCCACACGCTGTCTCAGTGCCCCGTATGCACACCCATCATGTGCTACACCTGCCCACTAGAGTGTAAACTCCACAAAGGTGTCCCGATGTCCCCACAGCCCAGAAGAATGCAGACCCTCAGTAAGCACTTGTCGAACTTGTCCATGGTTATTTGGTTAGTAAATGGCCAAGCTAGGACTAGACCCCAATAAGCCTGGTGCAGGGCCCAGGTTTGTAACCTTCTGCTCTGTGGCCTTCAATAGTTTGGTCCCTGTATGATCAGCCTCCCTGTCCCTTCTCCACTGTTCACCCCATTAGAGGCTGAAGTCCTTAATGTGCCTAGGGAGGAAGAGTCCCCTCATGTCTCTCAGACACAGTCTCTGGCCTCCAGGATTTGCACAACCTCAGTGATCCGTGGCTTCCCTAGCCCCAATTAAATGTTATGCCAGCAGCTTAATGGATCACTCCCCAGGGAAGTGACCACTTCCTCATTTCATCCGTGTACGGCCCTCAGTTGCCTCTGTAACAGCTGAAGATGCTGAGCCCTGTGTCTTGGGCAGGGGCTCTTATTTTCCACGTTAGAGTGTCTGAAGATCCCACTGGACCTTGCCCGGCTTTGGCTGCATGAAGCTGAACGAGTGTATGGTGACAAGATGGTTGATGAAAAGGACCAGGAAACACTGCGTAGAGTCACCATAGCTTCCACCAAGAAATTCTTTGATGTAAGTTAAGCCATCGGGTTCCTCTCCTGATCCCAGAAGGCTCCCAGAGGAAAGGGTATCTAGGGCTAACGGGAACCCCCCCGCCTCTTGGAAGCGCCATGGCTGGGGTGAGAAGACCCATGTTAGGGTCCCCACGAGGACTCCATCACGTGGCTGTGGAGCTGAGTGAGAAGGAACTGGCTGCTCAGGAGGTCAGGGTGGGCTGAGCTCCCTCTGCCCGCTGGGATAGGGAGAGGCCCTGCTGAGTGCAGCGTGCCCTGCTGGTGAGTCCTGTGCGTTCTGGTGGGAGCATTCTTCAGGCTGTGTTCCTGATATTGTAGGATGGAACGTCCCCCGCAGGATTCTGCCCAGCGTTTTGCTGGACCCACAGCAGCAGTGGTTTGGGCCCCTGAAGAGTTGGTCTGGCATCTGAGGGACCTCTGAGGCCACCTTGGCTAGGTACTAGGCTGCTGTTAATTATCTGTGTAGTCCTAGTGGCAAAAAAATAGACGTATCATCTTTTTGTTTTCTAGGATCTTGGCGATGAACTCTTATTTGCCAAACCAAATATCTTCTGCCATTTTGCTCAAGGGATTGGAGATTCCAAATACTTCCCTGTAACTGACATGGCGCATCTGAACAAGCTACTTGTAGATGCCCTCGACAGTTACAATGAAGTGAACGCCGTCATGAATTTGGTGAGTGTGCTGAGCTGACCGCAGGGGCCAGGGACCGCAGACAGAGGTCTCGTCATGGGATCTGCAGGGCGTTCTCTGGAGCTGCGCTGCATGACCCACCCCCACCCCCAACGTGCTGCTGATGGAGGAGAGCCACGTGCTGTGAGGTTGAGGCTGCTCTCCGGTCTCTGCAGGTGCTGTTTGAAGATGCGGTGGCTCACATCTGTAAGATCAATCGCATCCTGGAGTCTCCCCGGGGGAACGCCCTGCTGGTAGGGGTGGGTGGCAGTGGCAAACAGAGCCTGTCCCGCCTGGCGGCGTACATCAGTGCCCTGGACGTGTTTCAGATCACCCTCAAGAAGGGATACGGGATCCCCGACCTCAAGGTGAGAGGCCACTGTTCCAGGAGCTGCCCTTTGGGGAGGGCAAGTGGAGAAAAATTACATCCCTCCCTCTTGCAAAACGAAGACCCCCAGCCCAGAGAATATGCATGTCACCAACAGTCCTTTATCTAAAGGGCTTGTATCTTGAGAAGTAGAGACCAGCGCACACGCCCAGCTGGCTCTGAGTCCAGAAAGTCAGCATTGATCATAAAGCAAAGGGAATTACTGCCCTCAGTGACTAGAGGTTGACTGAAGACTCGAGAGCCCCCGCTGGGGATCTAGCTAATGCCTGGGATTTGGGACAGCTGCATTTTGAATTAAATAAACATTAGTGTAAACAGGTCTCCCGTGCCCAAGGCACGCTGCTGAGGCTTTTCATTGATTTCCTGTTCCTGAAAATTTGCTCTCCCAGGGAACGGCAAGCTAGTCAAACAGTATCAGCCCCAAACAAATCAGAGCAGTGCTTGAGACGAGGCCAGAAATTGATTGGCCCACGGTACAAAGTGATGTCTCTCTGTACTGGTGCCGGGGCTGCTTCTGGGGGGCTAGGATGATGCCAGACCCCGGGACAGCCCTACGCAGACTGTCCCTGCAGCACACAGCCCACAGGGAGGTAACCACTAGCCAGGTGGCTTTATCAGGGGGATGTGGAGCCCTGTCTAAGTTCAGCCTCCTGGAAGCCAGGGCTGTCCTTCCTGCTTCCTGAGGTGAGCCTGAGACCCACCTGCCAGGATGTTAAGGCACATGGCACTGTGCCTGGGGCCTGTGCTTCTGCAGACTCAGACCGTCCCCCTACTTGTTTAGTTTATCAAACTATATGAACTTTGGGGCTTGCTTTACCCCCGGTCAACTCCAAAAGAGGAACCTTGGTGACGTTTCTCTCCAAACAGAGATTTGGGGGAGTCGGCCTTGCTTCTAAAGGATAGAACTAAGCCATTTGGGTTGCCTATAGTGAACATATTTGGAAGCCTTTTAAATAAGTACAGGAGTCTACAGAGAGGCAGACCACCAAAACCTTGGAAATTCACATTAATGCTTGGATGATGGGAGTCTGGCAGACATTTCTTAATGTGGATAGACATGTAAGCTGGCGTATTTGTCAAAAATAGCAGCCCTATTGCTACTGCTTTGTAACATGTTACTTCATGTTTTTCTTCCAAGATCACTGTAAAATCCTTTTGTCCAGGCTCGGCACCCATAGCACAGTGGTTACGGCGCCAGCCACGTACACTAAAGCTGGTGGGTTCAAACCTGGCCTGGGCCAGCTAAACAACAATGACAACTGCAACAAAAAATGACCAGGCATTGTGGCAGGTGCCT